CTTTGCTGTCCAAAGTGATTTATTTTTTATGTTCAAGGACTCATGCTTCTTGTGTCTGAACAATTACAGACAAGTCTGAAAAAAAATATCACATGTGTTTGTGCTTTAGGAAGTGACGTTTATGAGGCTATATTGTTAGCATGATGTTAGCTCTAAACTGGAAGATGATACAAGTTTATTAAAATGGTATGAGTGTGGTAATTTGAGCTGAAAGTCCTGGGGTAAGCTGAGCAGCTTACTCCTCCTTATGATTATAAAGTGTTATTTTACTGTAATTCTACATTATACTTCATTAATTTTACACCAAACATTTTTGATTTTGTTCTTTGTTTTGAACTTGATTTTGTTCTGAAAATTGTACAATTTTAAATAGGCCTTATGAAAATTGCCCATTGAAGTTTTATGAAATGATACTTCCCTGCAACATTTATAAGTGGGATGTTGAGTATATTAGCCCAGTTCTGTAAGGTCAATTGCAGTAGTTTTTTATTTTATTTTTCAATTTGAACTTTATTTTGTTCTGAATTTTTTTTTAATAATTTTTAAAAATGCCTTCAAAGTTGTGTATTGTGTCTTTGAATAAAAGTTTTAAGAAGTCATCCATCCATTCCATTATCCAAAGCTCTTTGTCCTTATCAGCGTAGCAGGAGCCTAACCCAGCGTCTTGAGCCACAGGCAGAGAAACACATGGTCAGTCATTTTGATTGAATTTCTCTTCCTTTGTCATAGCATGAGGGGAAAATGTTCAGTTTTATTTATTTTATTTTTTATTTAAAGGCTCATTTTACCCCTCACTGGGGGCAAGTTGGAAAGCCATATTTTGAAAGCAGGTCATTTTAGATCCAATGTGATTATTCCCAAGGATGCACCACATCCTGAAATGTATGTACATATTTAAGTTGGGCCCATTACTGTCATGTGCTCGCTTTAAACACACCTTAAGTAAAAACTGGCTCAACTCACCCCGCTCTCCCCTATATATATATACTATACTCACCCCCCTTTCCCCTATATATAGCATATATATATATTATTAAATACTTAATTGAATACTTATTATTTCTTATATTTCAATATTATTTATATATTTTAATTACTATAATATTTTATATTTTAATTCATTTTTATATTTGTATTTTTTTTCATTTGTATTTTCATTTTTATTTCACACGTCTCACATGTAACAGCATTGTTTCCCATGTGCAGAATCTTTGTGATCACGTCTGAATAAACAGAACCACATGAATGTTTTTGTGCACTCACACGTGGACACATTATTAATACATTGTTTTTTCCTATAAGAATGCTTCAAATGAAAAGCAGATTTTAGCATGTGCAGCTCCCGCAGATCTCCTTTAGAAACAAACCCTGATGTGATTTACACAGAAGGTTCCGCCCTGTTCTGAGAAACTGCCGCACTCTGCCGATGTTTGAAAACAAACAGGGCTGCTCCAATTATTGATACACGGATTGCTTAAACTCACACTCTGGGGAAATGGAAAGCTATTTTTAGAAGTCTTATCTGAGGGGGAGAGACAGAGAGTGAGATGGAGTGAGACAGCGAGGAGAGCGGCCACAGATAACTGCTTCAAGGTTAATAAGAAAGATGGCCGTAGAAATCTGATAAGACACTCTCCCCACCCACAATTTCCTGCATCTCTCTACTGCTCTCGTACCCGTTTCCCATATTTCATAACATCTAAAATGAGCTGGTATGGCACAGATGGTCATAATATTTGAATATAATACAGTGCTGTGAAAGGTAGAGACACTCTTTGAAGAGTGTAGTTTTCTTTTAGATGGTTTTCTGATTCTGTTAATAGATAAGAAAAAAGCAAATGGCAATTTGACAGATGGCACTCGAAATGTACATTTTGTAAGGATGTACATGAACAAACATTCCCTTTTCTTGTGTGGAAAAAGTTAGTACACTGCCAACATAACATACCATAGATTAGTAGGAAATCTTTAAATCAGATACACAACCTTTCATATTTATATTTCAAATATATTTATATATAAACAGCATTAATACCTTTATCCCGCAAGGATGCAGTAAATTGGTCAAAAGGGACAGCAAAGACTTTTGCTTTGTTACAAAAGATTTCTGTTTCAAATAAAATAACTTTCTATTCATCAAAGAATCGTGGAAAAAAAAATGTATCAGTTTCCATAAAAATATGAAGTGCCACAACTGCTTTCAACATTGATGATAATAAGAATCCTACAAAAAAAAATATATATATAATAATAATATTGCCGTTTCCACCAAAATGTTAAGCAACAATTGTTTCCAACATTGATAATAATCAGAAATGTTTCCTGAGCAGCAAATCAGCAAATTAGAATGATTTCTGAAGGATCATGTGACACTGAAGACTGGAGGAATGATGCTGAAAATTCAGCTTTGCATCACAGGAATCAATAACATTTTAAACTCTTCAACTAGAAAAGAGTTGTTTTGAATTTTAATAATATTTGACAATATTACTGTTTTTACTGTACTTTTCATTAAAGGGGTCATATGATGCTTTTTAAAGATCATTATTTTGTCAGGGATCTTATCTATGCACAATCAGCTTGTAACACTCCAAAGAGAAAGGAAAACTTGAAATCGCATCATATGACCCCTTTAAATGAATGCAGCCTTTGTGAGCATAAGATACTTTTGAACCGCAATGTATTTCAACGTTTCAACACTGTAATATGTGACCCTGGACCACAAAACCAGTCTTAAGTCGCTGGGGTATATTTGTAGCAATAACCAAAAATACATTGTACGGGTCAAAATTATAGATTTTTATTTTATGCCAAAAATCATTAGGATATTAAGATCATGTTCCATGAAGATATTTTGTAAATTTCCTAACGTAAATATATCAAAACGTAATTTCTGATTAGTAATATGCATTGCTAAGAACTTCATTTGGACAAATTTAAAGCTGATTTTCTCAATATTTAGATTTTTTTTTTTTGCACCCTCAGATTCCAGATTTTCCAATAATTGTATCTCGAACAAATATTGTCCAATCCTAACAAACCAATCAATGGTAAGCTTATTCATTCAGCTTTCAGACGATGTATAAATCTCAATTTTGAAAAATTGACACTTAAGACTGGTTTTGTGGTCCAGGGTCACATATATGTAATTTACTTCTGCATATACCTTTGGTATAAAAGTTCAAATTATTCCAACTCGTACTCATTCTTTCTGGGGGATTTGAACCTATAACCTTCCAGCTGCCATGTGTTCGTCTCTTGTGTCGTCAGAGCAGCGGGACACTCACCCTCTCCCCGTCCAGCAGCAGGTGCACTCTGAAGTTCATGCGGTCCTCCAGGGTCACCTCCTCATTCCTGTACAGGATCTGAAAGATCCGACTGAAGACACCACCATCATGAACCCCTGCACTGCTGAAACTGCACTCGCCTACCCAGAGCAGGACAGACAAACGGAGAGAAAGAAAAGGTAGATTACTTCTCTGCTGTTCACATCAAAGCATCTCCAGAGAGAGATTCTCCACTGCGTGAACATCAAAGCACATTCAGTGACGCTTCCCTGCAGAAAGAGAGATGTAGATATTTAATTCATATTCAGTCTGCTGTTTACAGACGCTATTTTCTGACAGCGTTTGGCAGGATTGTGATTTTGTGTGTTTGAGGCTCGAGAGAAAGCAAAACATCAAATGAAAATACATATTCTGTCAGATAGCAGGGCCTGTAGGAATACTATTATTATACAGTATATCTCAATTGCAGCTCCTAGATAGTGCCCTAGCTCCTAGATGGAGATCAAGTGGAGACTTTGGGTTTCCCAAGCATAAAACATTTATACAACATTACATTTTTGTTTTGTAATGTCACAGTGCACAGTTCTAAAAATGTTCTAGAAACTTCTCCAAAAAACAGGACAATATTTGTAATTTCGTTGATTTAGTTATGTTGCAGAGCAATGTTTTAAAAATGATTTAGAAAACCACACACACACACAAAACAGTACAATGTTGTAATTTATTTTATTTTATGTAGTTATGTTGTAGCGCAATATTTAGAAAATGTTTTAGAAATCCATACAAAAAACAGTATATTGTTGTCATTATTGTTTTATTATTTTATTTTATTTTATTTAGTTAAGTAATGCTGTACTGCAATGTTTTAAAAATATTTTAGAAACGGCACAAAAGCATATTGTCATGTATTATTATTTAATTTTATTTGGTTACGTAATGTTGTAGTGCAACGTTTTAAAAATACTTTATAAACCACAAAAACAGTACATTTCTCATCTATTTTTTTTTTTTTGTTTTATTTTATTTTGAATTTTAGTTATGTTATAGTGCAACGTTTTAAAAATGTTTTAGAAAGTGCATAAAGAAAACATTTTGTTATTTGTTTGTGTTTATTTTTTCTTAAGTAATGTCGCAGTGCAATCTTTTAAAAATCTTCTGTAAACCACACTCACACACACAAAAGAACAGTACAATATTTGTAATTTAATAATTTTGTTAAATAAGGTTGCAGTGCAATGTTTAAAAAAGCACTTTAGAAACCACATTTACAAATATAAAAAGTATTTTTTCTTATTAAAGTTTACTTTAAAGTAGCCTCAAAAATTTAATGTAGCATTTTTTACCATGAAAATCAGACCAGACTGCAAAATTTGTGAAACATTTTATTTAATTTTTAAACTAATAGTCTGTGCATATAGAAAATACTGTTTATAATGATGATATAGTAAGAGAAGCATGTTAGCCTGCTATTATTAGCCTACAATATGTTTATATCCAAAATAAAACCACAACACATTACGTTTGTGGAACATTTTTGTTCACATTTTTAACCTTGAAGTTTGCAAACTGTTGCAATATAGCATGAAAAATTATCCGAGTGACCTATTTCAATGTGTGTGTACTGTATATTTATTTTTAGGATGTGAGCTGGTCAACGTTTTCAACAGGAAGATGAGTAAATTACCGATTTTTAATTTTTGAGTGAACTCTTCCCATTCCTCCAGTTGAATTTTAGCAGAAACTTCCGAGAAAAGTTTAAAGAGCCGCATGTGAGCAATGAAAGTTTCCTCTAAGGAGAGAAAATCATGAATCTGTCCATCAAATCCAGCATTACTCGTCCCGTCCCGTCACTAACCTGACACTAAAACAGCCACCATCAAGGCTGCAAGCATCAAACGTCGGCCACCGGCTCCACATCCAGCCAGAGAGAGACCAAGATCTTGTCTGAGATGGATGACAGCACCTCAGCGGGGTTTCTCTTCAGTAGAGAAGATGGTAGCTCGTGTCAGAGAGGTGCTGAGCGGAACGGTGAGGGTCTCACGTAAAGACAGACCCCCGCTGCGTCCGTCTCTCTCTCTCTCTGTTTGCCTCTTTCTTTCGGTCTCTCTCTTTCTATGACTTTCTTCCTCTCTGTGTGTCACCTAAAACAGTTCTGCAGTGTGCCGATGCCCCAGAGACCCGGAGAGAGAGTCGTACAGTACAGTCTGATCTTGCCAGAGGAGTCGTGGGGAGTGTGTGTGTGTGTGTGTGTGTGTTTGATGGAGAGGAAGAGTCAGAAACACAGAAAAAGATGGATCGGGTCAGTGTGTTTCTGATGAACATAATATAGAGACTATTTCTAGCCATCTGACAGCAGTATTGAAATGTACAGCCCTGCACTGTAATGCGGCATATTGGATAATCTATAATATACCTTTAAAGAGAGAATTCACTCAAAAATGAAGCTCATGTTGTCAAAAACGTCCATTGAACAATAAAATAGGATTTTTAAGATGATTTTTGTAGTCTTTCTAGCTCCAAAATAATGAAATTACACAATAAAAATGATGACAAAATTAGTCCGTATTAAATGATTCAGTCACAAATCAGACTGATTTCTCAAGTTAACTCGTTCCAGTTAACAGCACACACTCAATAAATATCAGTCTGCTCCTCACACAATGTTCAGAAGTTCAGCTCACACTGACTTCAGAAGACTTGGAATATAGTGGAAATATGCAATGTGTATTATTTATTTTCACCCTTAAACATGTCTTTAGGAAGCCATTAGTTCTAAAAAAAACAAACAAAACAAAAATAGTAGTAGTAATAATAATAATAAAAAAGCACTTTTAGACAAAATTTGCATTGGATATTGGACAAAGCTGGGCATTTATGTTTGCAAAATTTCACCACTATATTTTGATACAGTAAGTGAAAGTTTTAGATTCACAGCAAAAGAACACAGTTGTAAAACATAAATGTATTTAAAAAAATGTTTTTTTTTTTCAACACAGTAAAGGTCCTTGCACACTGAGTCCGAAATTTTCGTATGCGTTTTTCCGGGGTTTTTTTTCGTATTCGTCATCCTTTCCTATCAACATGCTTGCTACGGATGCGAAAACGCAGAAAATCGAACCTGGTCCGAATTTTTTTATGACTGACGAAAGTTTCGGAGGCAGTGTGTAAACGTGATTGACACAACGTGAGGTCGTATTTATTTTTCAACGTGCGAAATTTTCGGACTTCAACTCAGTGTGCAGAGACCTTAAGGGTACAAGCCATGAAAAAGTTCATTTAGTTTCAACTGAATTTCATTCAGATAGCTTTTTGACCCTTTAAATATCACATTAAAGTATGTTTTAAATATAATGTAGTACTTTAAATACAAATTAATTTAAACAAATATATAGTTATATTAATGAGACAATAAGGATAAAAATTTAATATTTTTTGTACCATTCATTGAATAGACTTCATTGTGTGAGAATAACAGAAAAAAGGTTGACCCCTAATTCCCAGTGTTGCACTTTTGCCACCCTTAGAAAAATGGTCTCAAATGTATGTATGTTCAACATTTTTCAAGAGCTTTAAGCCTTTTCCCATCACCACGAAACAAAAATGTTAAAATATAGATACAAACTATAAATAAAAATTATAGATATTTATACACAAATATTTAAGAAATATTTACACATACACACACACACACAGACACACATATATATATATATATATATCTTAAATATATACATGTATGTGTGTGTATAAAATATATACAGTACACACAGACATATTATGTAAATCCAGACTTTTATTTTGAATGTGATTAATCGCAATTAATCAATTTGACAGGCCTAATTTCCATCATTCAAAAAGTCTCCTTTTGTGTTTCAGAGCTGAAATGTCTGGAACAAGGTAACAGTAAGTAAATTAGTTTTTTCATTTGAATTTTTATATTTTATATTTAAAAGCTTATTTATCTGGCTATATTGTTCTAGTTCAGATACTGATGCAACATTTGTCATAAGTATACTTGTTCATTTGTATAAAAGCACCTTCTAAGTGAATAAATTTAAAATAATCTGACATTTTTTAAAATTAAATCCCATAAGAGCCAGAATGGCTGACAGATCCAAAATGGCCAGTGAGTGTGTGAGTTTGATTCAGACCGCCGCTGGCGTTCAGTCAAACGAGCAGCACCAAGACTCAATGTCAGACAGAGGCCATGGGCTTTCTGCTGCCAAATA